TGTGCATGCTTTGGAAAGCCATGCTTTGGTTTCTTTACACTGTTCGTGTTACTATTCATTTTTGCTGTTTTGTTGGGGACTCAAAAATAGAGATGGCCAAAAGGCCCCTGGTAGTGCTACTGCCATGCCAAATCAAGTAGCTCAAGCCACCACTTCAAGTCATACAGCCAACTAGCAGGGGGTAATAAAGAAAAGAAGAAAAAGAAGGCTTTGAAAGGTGATGCAATGAATCTATTGTGGATGGTTATGGTGATGCTGCCATGCCAAACCCAGGACGCCAAGTTCCCATCCAATTCTCTTTGTGTGTTGTCCATATACTTTTTCTTTTCTCTCAATGGAAGTGTTTATTTTTTCATGTCCGTATAATTGTTTGAATTGAAACAACGGTTATTTGATTGTAAAAGATTACCGTATCTCCAAACTTTTAAAATAGTTTTAGGCTTAAGAGCTAGGCTACTATTTAAAACAAGTATTCTTAACTTTTAAAATAGTTCTAGGCTTGATATGCACAATTCTCTTAAAAAACAGTTTTCTTTACTTATTATAGATAACTGTGAAAAAAATAGTGTGACACACACTACTTGTAATACAATACTATTTCTTATAAGTTTAAAAACAGTTATACACTGGGAAACGAGACTTCTGTTAAGAAATAGTAGTCTTAACAAATTATTGACAACTGTGACAATAAAAACTGTATTTTTTTACGAAACCGAATACTAATAATAGATGACCGTTTCTCACAGCTTCAAAAACAGTTCTACCCATAATTTATAGACTATTGTTCTAAAAGAGTCTTCTATTCCTATTATAAACAACAGTGGCAAAAAACCCATACGAAACAGACAACAAACGTTAGATAACTGTTTCTAATAAATTTTAAAACAGTTCTAGAATAACAACCCAGACTATTGTTTAAATAGAGTATTCTTAACTTCTTATTGACAACTGTTGTAAAAAAAACTGTATCTTGAACTGAGACAAACAACTAATGAAACATTACCGTTTCTCGAAACTTGAAAAATAGTTTTAAAGCATACAACCTAGACTACCGTTCGGTTCTTATGAAAAACTTACAGTAGTCTGTTTTTTTTCAACTACTGTGTTTGCATAAACAGTAGTGAATCAACAGTGGTCTGATGCTGTTTCTGGCGTAGTGTAAGCGTAATGCTAATGGGTCCGTATTGTGCTATAAGGCGCGCTTGGTGGCCAAGGGCTACACTTAGGAGTATGGTTTGGATTAATTTGAAACCTTCATCCATTTGTAAAATAGCATACGATATGTCTTGTCTTTGCTTTTGCTCTTTCCTATCAGTGGGCTCTTCAACAACTGGATGTCCCACTGCTTTTTTACATGGTGAGATTGCTGAAGATCTTTATATGGTTCAACTACCTGGTTATGTTGACTCCCATTTCCCTGGACATGTTTGTAAACTTACAAAGTCCTTGTATGGGCTTAAACAGGCTCCGAGGGCTTGGTATCTATGGCTTTCTTCCTTCCTTTTTGCCTATGGGTTTTGGAAAAATATGTATGACACTAGTCGTTTTGTCCTACACAGTGCGGCTGCTACTCATATTTTAAAATGTGTATGTGGATAATATCATTGCCACAAGTAGCTCATCATCACTTATTTAGCAGTTTACTGATCGCTTGTGGACAGAGTTTTAGACAAAAGATCTAGGCCCTCTTGATTACTCTTTTGGGACGAGGGTCTCTCGTACAGGGTTGACGTTAGCTCTTTCCAAACAAAAGTATGCCACCGAGTTTCTCCATCGTGCTAGAATGGCCCGTCCCCTACACCTTTGTCAGTACGACCAGGGGGGGTGAGAGCCTTTTTGTTGATCCTACTATATTTTGCAGTCTTGTTAGTGGCCTTCAGTACTACTACTCTTCCTGAAATCCAGTTTGTCATCAAATCTGTTTGTCAACAGATGCTTGCCCCCACAAAGAATGACTTTCAAAGTTTAAAGTGGATCCTACACTTCGTCAAAGGAACACTTGATCGCGGTCTTGTTTTTCAGGCCGGTGACCTCCAGCTATGCGCCTATTTGATTCACACTGGCAAATGATATGACTGATGTGTAGGGCACGATTTTATTATGTGGCATAAGTTATTATTTATCTAATTAATTGATCATTGATATGATAAATACCCTGCATATTTAATTGGTAATTATTCGATGGACGTAATTACCCTTATGACCTAATTAGGGTTTCTCCTTGGGTGTATATGTAGAGAGGTCATTAGGCAGAGATCCACACACCACTATTCTCATGAGTCTCATCCTCACCTTAGTCATCATAACGATATATCCTAAACGGGAACTCGATCTGCGTGAGAATCATGGCCTTATCCCTAACTACATTTAGAGGATTATCAGGTACACATGATTTAATTCTTGTTTTATACTTTATTTTTAAGAATTGATCAACATGTGGTACCAGAGCTGTTGATTAATCAATTCTTCTCGTATTCATAGTTACTGGAATTGAAATCCGATAACTCTTTAACCCTAATGAAATTTCATGTTTTTCCTTATTTGCTCGCATATCTCGATTTCCCAGTACGTCACCCCAATAAAAAAACACTTTGATTTTACAAATTCTCTTGCTGGTGTATTGCGTTTGTCCACCCAAAAAAAGAAATATATAAACTACTCCATATTGTTGATATCACAAAATCGAAAGTGTAATATGTTCTTAAAATAATAACAAAGTGTTTTGATCTCCTCAAATCAAGTTCAATAAATATATGTTTGATAAAGTCTTTTGGAGTTCATCCTGATTTGCCTAATTCACAATTAGTTTAGAAAAAAATCAAAACCTTAATACTCTTATTATAATTATTCTTTGATTCTATTTGAATAGTTATTAAATCCGAGAAATTATTATGCTTTTATCCTTATTTTGATGAAATTATCTTGTTTTGGTATTTGATTTGGAATATAATTGTGTTTTCTTAAATTGTACTCCCTCCGTCCCAAAAAGAATGAGACGGTTTGACTTTTTGGGAAATTAAGGGAGAGATATTTTGGTATTGACTTTCTAAAAATACCCTTGATGTGATGACTAAAAGTAGGATGCGATAGGTAGATTATTAGAAAAAAATATGATGTAATAGGTAGGGTATGAAAAAGTAAGAGGTAAAAGTGGTTTTTTAATAAAAATGTAACGGACTTTACGGGACGTAGTTTTTTGTAAACGTAACAAACTTTTTGGGACGAAGGGAGTATGACATATCTCACTTTTGCATAATATATTCTGTTTCCTTATTTTATCGATTCATTTTACCTATAATACCAAAACTAAGTAAGGGATATGCTAAAATACCATAAAAAATTTAAAATTTTTACTTGCTGGAAAATCTCTTGCTTTATATTTTTTTGATTTTCGAATTAAATTAATCTTAATGGGTCCCCAATTTTTTTCGTAGCCCGGCCCCGAACCGCATTAACTTTTGCGGTTAATTAATTATTAACATTAAATTTAGAAATCATTTGACTAATTTAAATAAAATTTATTTTATGATTAGTTAAATTGATTTATTTTGCTTGACTTGATGACTAATACCTTATGGTACACTTATGCCCAAAGGTGATGTGTAACATTTGTAAAATTTATGTCAAGTCTTATTAAGCATTGTCATTTAGTGCATATCCTTAATTAGATATTTGCATGACACTCGCCTTAAATACATAATATTTCACTTCTTTCCAAAGATGATGTGTTATAGTTGTGTACTGCGAACTAAATATATATGTGCATTAAAATCTAAATATTTCACTTCTGCCCAAAGGTGATGTGTTACATTCAAATTGCACATCATTATTTTAATATTCATTATTTTATTATTGTACTTGGTGTTTTATCCGTGTTATACTATATTCCCTACCATATTTTTTGTGCAAATATTTTTTGTGCAGGTTGAGCTGGGGGTCTCTTGGAAACAGCCTCCCTACTTCCGAGTAGGGGCAAGGTCTGCGTACACACACCCTCCCCAGATCTTACTGTAGTGGGACTCAACTGGGTTGTTGTTGTTGTTGTTTAAATAAGTGGTCATAACCAAAGTGAAAGCCATTTGTTTAAGTAGAATTAAATTTAGTCTATTATTTTGGTGTTATAATAGACTTTTATCACAACTTCATTACAATATAATGGTCCTTATCTTCGCCAGCCTTAGTTCATTACCTCTTAAGTTCTTCTTTAATTCCGTGTCTTATTTTTCTCATCTAAATCCACTATCAGCCCCAAATATGAGAATTGAAACTTTGAACTGTGCGAATTTTTCTTCATGGAAAGGTTCTCTGATGCTAACTCTTGGCATGTTGGATTTTGATTATTCATTGAGAGATCCTGCCCCTCCTGCCCTCACTGATAAAAGTACTGCTGAAGATAAAATAGTACATGAGAGATGGGAGAGGTGCAACAGAATGACTCTTATGCTCATTAAAAATTCCATCAGCATAATCTTCAGGGGAGCTATTTCAGATTCATCTAATGCTAAAACATATCTGGCTTCCGTGGAGGAAAAATTCAAAGAAACTTCTAAGGCACATGCTAGTACTCTTATTTTGAAGATGGTGACTACAAAATATGACGGGAATAGCGGCATTCGTGAGCACATCATGATGATGAACGTCATGGCCCGTAAGCTTAAGGGATTAGACATGAAGATCAGTGAAGGTTTTCTGGTGCACTTCATCATGACTTCTCTTCCTGCATCTTTCGAAGCTTTCAAGGTCAAATACAACACCCATAAGGTCAAGTGGTCGATGATTGGGTTGATCGCTATGTGTGTACAAGAAGAAGAGCGTCTGAAGCTGGACAAACCTGATGTGGCTTACCTCATGACCGCTAATCCAAAGAAGAGGAAGGGCAATGTTGATAAGAAGGAAGTTTCTAAAGTCCAGAAATGTGATGCAAGTGCTTCTTCCAGCTCTAAGAACTCCAAAGGGAAGTCTTACTGAAAGTTCTACGGCAAGGAAGGACATAGACATAAAAACTGCCAAGACTTTAAGGAGTGGCTGACGAAGATGGGTAATCATCTTTACATGATACTTGAGTCCTTTAGTTTAAATGTTCCAACTAATACATGGTGGTTTGACTCTAGTTCTATGGTTCATGTAACCAACTCACTTCAGGGATTCCTTACAATCTAGAAGCTAGAAAGAAACCGAAGAACACTTAAACTGGGGAATGGAACAGAGCTAGCTGTCGAAGCCGTGGGAACCTTAGAATTAATAATGAAAACTAGTTTATGTATTAAACTTTATGATACCTTATATATTCCCGAGATTACTCGGAATTTAGTATCAGGACCAAAGTTAGACATAGACGGTTTTGATGTTTCTTATGGTCGTGGCAGACTTACTATTCATTTCAATTCTCAAGTGTTTGGTCATGGTTTTCTGGATGGTGGTCTCTATAAATTAGAACTAGATGATGATTTTTCCAAATCTTTGTTGTCATATAATATCAATCAGACATCAACAACAAGAAAACGAAAACGAGACTTGGAAACCTCATCCATGTTGTGGCATCAATGCTTAGGCCACATTTCACGAGAACGTTTGTCTAGACTCGTGAAGGATGAAGTGTTACCATCCCTCGATTTCAATGATTTTGGAACATATGTCAAATGCCTTAAAGGTAAAATGACATCAGTGAATAAGAAAGGTGCCACTAGGAGTTCTAATTTATTAGAGCTCATTCACACTCACATTAGTGGTCTTTACTCTATCACTGACATAACTGGACATAACTCATTTATCACTTATATTGATGATTATTCTCGTTATATGTACTTATATCTTATTAAGGAAAAATCTGAATCACTTACAACTTTTAAAGATTATAAAACTAAAGTTGAAAAACAACTTGATCGTTCGATAAAAGTTGTAAGATCTAGGGGTGGGTTTGGTTTTGGCGGTTCGGTTTTCACCCAAAACCAAAGACAAAACGGAAGATAAATTGGCGGTTCGGTTCGGTTTTGCATAAAAAATATGTAAACCGTTGGTTATTCGGTTCGGTTTTATACGGTTTTTATTTTGTTTTTTTTCGGTTTATAAAAGTAAAAATTTATAAGCATTAAAAATTGTAAAAACACTAACTCGATTAAACAATAATAATATGTAGTGTTAGCTTTGGTTTTTTGTTTGATTTTTACACAAAAACAAAAACCAAACGGAAGGTTATTGTTCCTTTCGGTTCAATTTTACATAAAAAAATATGTGTTGAGTGCCCAACAAACATTTAGAAGATTTCAAATGATTCCAAAGAAATCGTATGTAAAATCTATTACGGAGAATTTAGGTTTTTTGGTATAATACTTTCATTTTCATTATAACATCAAAGTATTTGTTATGTAAATATGTAAATTACTCGTGTCAATTTTTAATATTAATATAATTCTATATTAGGATTAGCTATTGGTGTTTATATTCTTAAGTTTTTTCAAAGTTTATAATAATAGGGCTAGAATGTTTAATTAATAGTTAAGAAAATAATTTTATATCGACTAGTAATTTATTTGCGTTTATATTTCTATAAATTTTTTACATATCACATATATTCATATAAATAAAGCGAAATATCTAAAAAAGTTCGGTTTATTCGGTTCGGTTCGGTTTTTAAAAGTGAAAACCAAAACGGAACCAAACACTAACAGTTCAGTTCGGTTTTTTTACATTTGGTTTTGGTTTTTTCAGTTTGGTTTTTTTTCTAGCTCGTTTCGATCGATTTCGGTTCGGTTTGTGGTTTTCGGTTTTCCCAACCCAACCCTAGTAAGATCAGATAGAGGAGGTGAATATTATGGTATACATACTGGTGTGGGTCAAGCTCCTGGTCCATTTTATGAGTTTTGTAAGGTCCAGGGATCGTGAACCAATATACCATGCCTGGTACTCCTCAGCAGAACGGTGTTGCTGAGAGAAGAAATAGAACCCTAATGGACATAGTACGCAGTATGTTAGCAAACTCAGGTTTACCTATATTTCTCTGGACCGAGGCCTTAAAAGTAGCCGTTCATATACTCAATAGGGTTGATTCTAAAGTTGCCCCTAACACTCCTTATGAACTCTAGACAACAAAGAAACCGAGTCTAAGATATATGAAAGTATGAGGTTCTTTTGCCGAAGCTAAACTTTATAAACCCTTCTTAAAGAATTGACATGAAAACTTTAAAAATGAAAAAAAACTAATTTTAAAATAGAACATACTTGCTATTGACTTAGAATTCTTCTAATTTATACGGAATAAAATTAATGCTATATTTAATAAACATGCCAATAAAAAATCCCTTTCGTTTTATAAATTTATTTCTCTTTTTTCAAAAATGGGAAAATCTCTCCAATTAGTATTAATTCAAAGTAATAACAAATATTCACATGTTATTTCCTTTAGTCCTACTAATCGATCTATCCGTTCTTAGAATAAATTTATTTGTTTTGATTATTGTTTTTGAATATGACTTCCTTTTTTCAATTTCAAAATATATTATTTAACATAAATATTTTCCAACAATGAATTAAGATATGAAAGTTTTTAAACGCAATTATGCTGAGGAATTTGTGTGTAACCAATACAAAACTTAATTTACATAGAATATTTTTTTTGTTAATTAATTCTTTAAATATCACTTAATGGCATGACGTGCTGACATGTTAAAAAATTACTTAGTAAGAGTGCCACATGCCACAATTACCATATTATCAAATTCATTAAAGGTGACGGATGATTTGTAAAAAAATTGCCAAATAGACCTATCACATGTCGCAATTTCGAAAGTCCAACTCTCAAATTTTATACTAGGAGTATATAAAGATAAATATTTTACAAATTAAATAGTAGGCAAACAGTTTGAGATAAAGTTGTTATCTTTGGTCATTAATACCTCAAGCTTGGTACTCCCTTTGTTCCACAAAACTTTTGCTCTTTTATTTTTTTGTTTTCCACAAAACACTTCCACTTTTTATTAAAAAATCATTTTTACCCCTATTTTTTCATACCTACCTATCACATCATACTTTTTTAGTAATAATAGCCATGGGAAGTAACAGAGGAAGATTAACTGAATGCTATGACGGCCAGAGCTTTTCTTCTCTCTTACTATCACTCTCCTCCGAAGGGGCACTGCTCACCGGAGTCCACAATCACCAATAGAATAAACTTCATCTCTCGCGCTGCCAACAAGCACGATGCTCCTCCGGCTACGCAGTTCGAATTCGGGGCTCCGTTTCAACTGGAGCGGGGCATTAGGCGCGGATTGATCGGGAGCACGGGCTGGAAGGCGTTTGCAGATGTCAAGCGCAAAGCGTATGATTCCACTGACTCGTTGCAGGAATCCGCCGAGTGCGACGGTGCTCTAAACGACGGCGTTTTGAAGGAGGACGGCCGAGAGAGCACTCCGGGGTTCCCCAAGCGCTGGGTTATTGTGCTTCTCTGTTTCTCCGCTTTTCTGCTTTGCAATATGGATAGAGTGAGCTGACCCTTTTTTTCTCCCTTGAATAATGATTAATAAAATCATTGCAAGTATGCTGTTTTACTTTTTGAATTGATTAGGAAAGTGTGCTGTTTATTTAATTAATATTATTGGTAATGGTTTTTGAAATAATATAAGTTCATTGTGCATTATTACGTTGAGAAAGTACGAACAGATATTGCATTGTGTTATTGTAATATAGTCAATCACCCTCAAGAAAATTATTGCAATTTTTAACTACTTGGAATTCTGACTTGATAAAAAAAACTTTGACAACTTATTCAAATTTCGAGGGTGTCAAGAATTGCTTTAGAGGAATGAAGAGTGCCAAGAATGATGTCATCAGTAGAGTTCAATTCTAGTCGAGGAGAGTCTCCAAAATAATGTAGAGATGATTCGTATATAATGCAAAATCATGAAGGGAGCTAAGAATCATGATTATGAGCTGAACGACTTAGCTGTTACTTTTGTTTTCTTTGTGGCCATTGCCTACTTCGGTACTAGGTGGTACTGCTCTGAGAGGATGTTCATGCTTACCTTCAGCCTTTATTGCACTTTGTGAAAAGATAGGAAAAAAGGACTACATCAGAACATGCTGTTTTGTGTGTGTTTACCCTATATAGGAAATTCAAGCAGATTATGTTCTGCAGGTAAACATGAGCATAGCGATACTTCCAATGGCATCAGAGTTTCATTGGAGTCTTACGACTGTTGGTTTGATACAATCTTCCTTTTTCTGGGGCTATCTTTTGACTCAGGTAATGAAATGATCATTCCTTTATATGATAACTGCAGCTTAAGATCATAATCTGTGCTGTTTATTTTCATTCATAGTTCTTAGTTCCTGCAATTTTGGATAATGAATTCTGTTTTCCATCTTTTTTACTAGTTTATTTATTAGATCATGCGTGTTATTTATTCCCGTTGTATTGGCTACCAATATAGTATTGCAAATTACTTTTCCTTACAATTTTTATGTTAAAACACACTTAGATTGCAGGCGGTATATGGGCTGACACTGTTGGCGGGAAGTTTGTCTTAGGATTTGGTGTAGCCTGGTGGTCTATAGCAACAGCCCTCACACCAATTGCAGCAAATCTCGGGTTACCTTTCTTATTTGTTGTCCGAGCTTTCATGGGAATCGGTGAGGTTGGATGTTGTATTCTTTTCTGTATATTTTAGTTTAATACACCAAAAAGAAAATAATGAATACAATCATACATAGTGTTTTGCTATTAAATAATGATCTATTTTTCTTCCAATCATTTGCATTGTACTTAATTTTTCCACTAATTGCTTCTACCTGAACTAGCCACCCTTGATATGATTCTGCTGGGCCAACTCAATTTTTGCCATCTCAGGGTGTTGCCATGCCAGCAATGAATAATATTCTTTCAAAGTGGGTTCCAGTCTCGGAAAGAAGCAGATCACTTGCCCTGGTGTACAGTGGAATGTATCTTGGGTCTGTCACCGGCCTAGCATTTTCACCGATGTTAATCCACAAGTTTGGCTGGCCATCTGTCTTTTTTTCCTTTGGTTCCTTAGGCACTGTTTGGTTTGCTCTGTGGCAAAGTAAGGTAGATATCTAAGTTTGTTTTTGAACTTATATAACTTTCCTTCTTAGGTGGTATTTCTCAGTTTTTGTGGCATACACTGCACAGTATTGGATGCATTTGTAAGAATGTGTGCTTGTCTTCTTCTTTTATTCATTCAATCAATTATTTTTGTTCAGTCACACAGTTCTCCTCTGGATGATCCTGATTTATTGCCCGAAGAGAAGAAGCTTATTCTTAGCAACAGTGTTTCCAAAGAACCTGTAAAATCTATTCCTTGGAGACAAATTTTGTCCAAACCCCCTGTTTGGGCTTTGATAGTGTCTCACTTCTGTCACAATTGGGGAACTTTTATTATTCTTACATGGATGCCTACATATTATCACCAGGTAGTTTATTTACAGTTTTTGATTCATTATACTTGCAGATTGATTGTCGCTTCTTTAATTAATGAAGTAGCAGTTAGTCAAGCAATGCAACTTTCGACGTTGAGCCGGGGGTCTCTTTGGAAACAGCCTCTCTACTTTCGAGTAGGGGCAAGGTCTGCGTACACACACCCTCCCCAGACCCTACTCTTGTGGGATTTAACTGGGTTGTTGTTGTTTGTATACTTGCAGATTGTTTATTACAAACAAGTCTCAATGCATATAAATTGTACTACGTATTTCATTGATGTTAAAATACACTCCTATCAAAGACCTTTTCAGTGCTATGAACTTTGCTGGATGCTTCGCCTCATATCCTGAATGTTTTTAACCGTACGCATTGACAAGTGTGTAACTTTGATGTGCATAATACGAGAGTACCCTTCAACCTTCAGTTTATCTCAAATTTTATCATATCATGTGTATTTTGCATTTATAGAACTTAGACCTGATCTCTTTCAAATCATGATTTAGGTGTTTCATAGCAATGCAAAAGCTATTTCTTTTGAAGTTATTGGCTAGGAAACTGGTCTGGTATCAAAATTGCATGGTAGAGATATGTATCCGTGATTATCACTAGTCTTGTGTGTTGTGATATTAAGCCCCATTTGCTCACACATTCCAAGTTATGATGATATATTTGCCACCATTTCATTTGCTGTGGTGATGTGATCTTTTATGTAGTCAATATTAATTGCAGGTCTTGAAGTTCAATCTTACTGAATCAGGAAGTTGTGCCATTTTGCCATGGTTTACCATGGCATTCTCTGCAAATGCTGGAGGATGGATTGCAGATTCATTGGTGAGGAAAGGTGTATCAGTGACTGTAGTGAGGAAGGTATTGCATAATCTTGTTGTGGGCTTTAGCCTTTAGGTTGCGTTGGGTTTGAAATATTTCTTTTTCAGGATTTTGAATGGAACTAATAGCTTCTAGACTCTAAACATTCAGTAACAAACATATTGGTTAGAGGATTCAATGTTTCTAACTCCTTAGCTCTCGAGAATTTCTGTTGATTCATGATTGAAGTCATCGGTCTAATCTATGAATTGAAAATGACCTTCATGGAAAAGAAAATCATGCATGCGTATTGTCTATTATAATTTTTTATTTTGTTATTTGTTTGGATGTGTTGATTTCCATCTCATCATGTAATAGATTAGGTATTTCTATTACTTGGAGACTTGTCAACATTTTTTTAAAAAACTACATGATGAATAACCTTTTAAGGGAATGCACCTTACTGTTCGTGGTGCCTGAACTGCTGACACTTCACTCTTAACAGGTAATGCAGACAATAGGGTTTCTTGGACCAGCTTTCTTTCTAAGTCAGTTGAGCCATGTTGATTCTCCAGCAATGGCAGTTCTGTGCATGGCATGCAGTCAGGTTTGTGCTTATTTCATATTGAGATGCGAAATGACAGGGGTCCACCCCGTGCCGTTGCTACTTCTCTTCCTCCTTCCTTAAACCTGTCAAATCTTGAAAGAATATAAAGCTTAGGAAACATCATTTATTTTTTCTTCTATTAATATTCACGTTGGAACTTGTGCATTTACTATTGGTAACCATCATCAAAATTTTTCATTGGTTGCAATTTCTTGGAACATGCACTAGTTAATTTCTAAGTTGCAAAAAACAGTAATATCGAGTGATTTCATGGTCGATTTGACAAGTATTTGGGACGTAAAAATGTTAAAAATGTGACATTTTTAGGGATGGAGGGAGTATATCTTATTATCTCCCTTCATGTTTTCTTCTCTTATTTTGTTCATCGCAACTTTAGTAATCTATCAGTTAGCTGTTATACTTCATTCCTTAATATAAAACAATAGCTAGTATTTTTACCTTTTATTTTTTTAAAGGCCAGTATTGATACCTTTAGTTATATTAACCAAGTTGACAAAAATAATAGTGTCTCGTCCACTGATTAGAAACTTTCTGTGGCTGAACTGCATTTTAGTAATTATTTTTCTCATTAGTTTCCTTTAAAAAAACAGGGAACTGACGCTTTTTCACAGTCCGGGTTATATTCAAACCATCAGGATATTGCTCCCCGGTATTCAGTGAGTATCCAAAACACACATGCACATGCACACTCACCTCCACAAACAAACTCACACAAATACACAATGCCTTTTCATAAGGTTTATTTTTCCTATTATAAAAGATTGGGGGAATTTCTGTTATACCATATAAGGAGCATGTTCAGTCGCCTTTTTTTTTCATCTTAAAAGAACATTATTGTTGTCAAGTATGGATACATTTGTTTTCAGATAGGCTTCCCCTCTAAACCCCTCCAAAACCCTCCATCCAAAACAGACCCTAACCTACTACTGTAAGTGACCTGCAGGGGGTACTTTTAGGACTATCAAATACAGCTGGAGTCCTGGCTGGTGTTTTTGGAACTGCAGCTACTGGATACATCCTGCAACATGGTTTTACTCTTCAACTGTTTTCCTCAAGTTTTATTGGACTTCTTTGCCCCTTTGGTTACACTAAATGTTTTCCATTCTCCATTTTAACATTCTAACTGTTCATTTTCCATGTGAAAACTTCAAAATATGTTCACTTAATTTGCTTCAGCATGCTGCCAGTCATCAAATACTAGAAAAATCTTATACTCCCTCCGCCCCTTTGGACTTTTCCATGCTTGGCCTTCCTGGTCAAAAGAAAATATTCTTTGTTAATACTTCGACGAAATACAAAATTTATAATCTTTACTAAAATATGCCAACTGAAAATATCGGTTGAAATTAAACATATATGGCCATAAATGGCAAACATACGGCAAAGCCCAATGGGACAAAGGGAGTATAATATATGCAAAAAGTTCTTGTCTTTTTCTCCGCCAAACCGAGTGATAATTTAACATCTTGTTCCTGATTAACAATAATTTTACATGTTTCTTGTTCGGGATATAACAGTACTGACTCTGAGTCTTGTGTCTCAGGTTCTTGGGATGATGTTTTTAATGTTTCAGTGGGGTTATATTTGGTCGGAACTGTGGTATGGAATCTCTTTTCAACCGGAGAAAAGATTTTGGACTGAGTCTTATTTCGCTGAATCTAGTTCATCTTTTGGTCTTGAACATAGGCAGACCACCAGCAGCTTCACTATGGATTTTTTGTAAATTGAATTTGCATTGATCAAGGTGGCATTACATTCCATTGCTACACCGACCAGTTTTAACCGTTAATACACCAATGTGTGTTACTTTGTGAAAATGTGGCCAAGACATATATTGTAGTATACATCTTTGATCTTTCCATGTTTAACCCTGCTCTGTATTTGTACATAGAACTCGATTTTGGCGCGAAGGACCGAAGTATATATGCAGGTTTGAAAATGGATCACAATTAGAGGTCATTTTAGTTATTAATTGATTTATTTAGAATTGTTTTAAAGTTGTCTTTCCCACCAGATAATGTTACCTATTCTGTTAGTTTGAATATTTGTTACCCCTTCGTCTCTTAAATAACTTCTCAATTATTCTTCACTAGATCAAAGTTTATCATCTTTATTTGCTTTTTTATACTAATTTGATAAGATAATATAGTCATCTCATTTTTTGCTTTGTAGAACTATTGGTCTAACTTGTTTTTAAACATAAAAGTATTGTTTTTAACTCTACACTAGTTATTAAATGAATTGATTGCAAAATAACTCCAGTTAAGCATGGTAAAATGTGAAGAAAATTTCTAGAGGGGGGAAGTATATTAGAATGATATACCCCTACACAATCCTCACAAATTAGAAGCAGTTTTGATCATTATATTTTGATTTAAAGAAAAAAAATGATTTTCTACACCCCCCATAAAGTAATCTAAAGTTTGGATTTGAAAAAAAATCCCCGGGAGTCTTCATTGATCCGGTCAGACGGTCACTCAGATGAGGTAAATTGGACTTTGATCGCAGACAGGGGCGGATGTAGGAAGGCCTTATTGGGGGCAATGGCCCCCAGTCAAATCTGCCCAGTTAGTATTAAAAAAATATAAAAATTGGGTGATTAGAGAACCTGCCCCCAGTCTCTAAATTAATGTGCCCCCAGTCCTCGTCCCAACTCGTCAAGCCCAAAAAGAAAAAGAAGTCCCTCATAAACTAAAAAAAGGGTTTAGGTAGTTAATAAGTGTACCATATTTCCTTTTTGTTGAAATTAAGGAAGAGTCAAATCAAATTNACAGGGGCGGATGTAGGAAGGCCTTATTGGGGGCAATGGCCCCCAGTCAAATCTGCCCAGTTAGTATTAAAAAAATATAAAAATTGGGTGATTAGAGAACCTGCCCCCAGTCTCTAAATTAATGTGCCCCCAGTCCTCGTCCCAACTCGTCAAGCCCAAAAAGAAAAAGAAGTCCCTCATAAACTAAAAAAAGGGTTTAGGTAGTTAATAAGTGTACCATATTTCCTTTTTGTTGAAATTAAGGAAGAGTCAAATCAAATTTTTTTTTCCCCAAATTACCCCCCAAATCCCCCAAGTATTCTTCCCACTCACATGGATGAATAGTGTGCGAATAGTGTAGGAGTGCGAGGGTAAAAGAGTTAATTCCTTGTAAAGTTATTGACTTTGTAATTCTTTTTGGGACAAAAATGTGAGGAAATATTGTAATCTATTTCGGGACGGAGAGAGTATTTAAATAAACATTTGTGTTTTTAAATAAAAAAAATAAAAAAGACTTTTTTATGTGAAAAGGTTCACAAAATTTATATGCATCTAAGATGCACTAAGAAGCATTCTATGTTCTGACTTTGTTCTATTTCGTTCCTATTTTATACTTCCTCTCCCAAAAAAATTCACAATTTGATTTTTAGGTCAAACTGTGCAATATTTTGAATATAAATGAGGGAAAAAGCATATTTAATTATAATGTAAAATTAGGTTCATTTAAAAATATCACAATTTGACTATAAAAGTCAAACAATGATAATCTTTTTTAGACTGAAAAAAGTACGAAATATGATTTTTTATTTAATTGAATGCATTATATTATTTTTCTAAAAACATAGCATTAATATATATTTTTGAATACATGTGTTAAGTGTGAGATATAATTGAGATTTGAGAGAATATAATAACTAAAAACACTATAATTGAATTAGGGTATAAATTGATGTGCACCCTAATATATAGGCTCTCATTCTTTGGTTAAAAAATTACTAAAATAATCTATTGTATTTTTAATGGTTAGAAATATAGAGAAATTTTTAAAACAAAAAATTCCTTCAACATACGAAACAAAAAATGCAGTCTAAAATAATTGTTGTCAAACTAATTCATTATGATAAATTGTAATCGTTATACACTTAACTTATTAATATGGAGTATTTATAATCGTTTGAATAGAATTAAAACGCTCTATATATAAAATTTAATAGTTAAACTAAGTTAAGTGATACAGAGTATACTTTTAAAATTTTACTATCCCATTTTAGATTATTTTTTTAATTTTAATTGTTTGAAAGGTTATTTGAATAATAAAAAATACTCCCTCCGTCCCAAAAAGTTTGTTACGTTTAGAAAAAACTGCGTCCCGTAAAGTCCGTTACATTTCTATTAAAAAACCACTTTTACCCCTTACTTTTTCATACCCTACCTATCACATCATATTTTTTTCTAATAATCTACCCATCACATCCTACTTTTACCCATCACATCAAGGCTATTTTTGGAAAGTCAATATCAAAATATCCCTCCCTTAATTATCCAAAAAGTCAAACCGTCCCATTCTTTTTGGGATGGAGGGAGTATTACTTTGGAATATTTTTAACATTTTTTGTCATTTTACATTGCCTGTAAAAGAAATCCGAAGATATAGCCCCCAGACCCTATAATACAATGCCCCCAGTCACCTATAAT